GTGATTTAGGTCTGTACAAAAATAACTTGAATTGAATTGCCTAGAATGAGTCTAGTGTGTGTGTGAATGGTTGGTGGTGATCAGAGGGGCCAATGGCACATACTGTCAGTGCGCCCCAGGGCAGCTGTGGCTACAGTAGTAGTAGTAGTAGTAGTAGTAGTAGTGGTAGTTTATCACCACCTTTTATGGAGTGAATGAATAATGACATGTCTGTGAGTGTCCAAAAAAGCGCTATATAAAACTAATGCATTATTATTATTATTATTATTATTATTATTATTATTAATTTGAACTTGCCCCTCAAAGAACTTCCTGTTTTACTGTCATGTATTGTACCGTATGTTTTATTCAAATATATATTGAATTATTTATCAACACATTTCTGGGTATGAAATAACCAGCAGGATTCCATAGAAAGGAAAAAAGTTAAAAACACACAAATTAGTCAAGGCAAGTGTGTTTGTATAGCACAGTTCATATACAAGGCAAATTACCAGTTGTTATTAGTTTGAAAGTAAAATTTAAAAAAGTACTTTGTGGAACGCTTTCTGTGAAATACACAATATAAACAAAGATTACTTACCATCAGTACCTATACCTTCATATGTACAGTATCAACTGTATATACCTACCTACTTTCTTTCCTTCCTGCTGCTGTCAGACTGTACAATGACAACTGCTGAGCCTGTACATGTCACTCATCTGTGAATAAGTGAATACTGTCCTGCCCTAAATGTATATAACTTTTTTTATAAGCATTTACAGCTAGCTAAGAAACATAGCAGCTACTTACGATATATTGTATATTTTGTGTGCTCCCTGTGTGCTCTTACTACTGTCCCGTATGTGCGCTGCAACACTGATAATTCCCCACTGTGGGACGAATAAAGGATCTAAGCTTATCTTACTTACCCTAATGTTGCATAGTATTGAGTTACATTTATATATTTCCGAACACACATCTATAAAACGCCCACATTAGCATAGCGTCCCTGTAACTTTGATCTTTGGACACTCTTCATCCATAACACTATCAGAGTGGAGCGAGCGCTTCAAGGGCATGTGCTTGTCTTGTGCAAACACTTGGATATGGATTGCTCGCCGAGGATCTCCAATCTGCACACTGGCCTATTAGTATTGACCCCGCGAGTGGAAAACAAGGGCCCTCATACTGGCTATCGACGGGGTCCGGGGCCGATCTGCGCTGCGCCTGTTTCCACATTGATTGTTTATTACAGCTGCATACTACAGCAAAAAGACTTCATCCATCAATCTCCGCTAATGGTGCCGACGCATGAACTCAATCTAGGGTCTTGGAACGAAGAGACAGAGATTGAGCTGTGATCATGGCTGGTTATGGCTGATGACAAAAAGGCAGGTGCGAGAGTAAATCAGGTAAAGTTGCATGGAGAAGATGGATTTATTAGAGGTGCGGGGTTTTTGTTGCCGTTTCTGGGCCTCTTCAACCTCCAAGGCCAGTGCCGGATCAATGGCAGGGCTACATCACGGCGGGGAAAGAGTTATGTGCTGGTGTTGAAAAACAGGCGAGGTCCAGGGGTGAGGTATGCATGTACAGTAATGAGCCGGACCAGTCTGGGTTGTGTTGATTAGCATGCTTTGCAGACATTGATGGTCCAACATGTAAAGGCAGCAATGGAATCAGAAAAAGTATTGCATTGCAGCTCGGGTAAATAGACACACAGTTGATGGGCGTGTTTGCTAGCTTAATTATTTTTTTAGGCTCTAGTTTGTCATTCATGTCTTTTCAAACACAATCCAGTCTGGAACTTGAGATGCTTGTTGTCTTTATAGCCCTAAGGCTGCATATTTTTTTTCACTTTTTCCTCATTAATAACCAACAGAAAGATACTTGTAAAGTAAAATGTTGTGCATATATTGCACCACGACATTCTGTTTTCATTCTTATTGGACAACATGTTATCTTTTGTGTAGTGGTAAGAAAGATTAGGCTCTTTTTGGCTGGAAAAGGGTGGTCCTTGATTTTTAATGTTTCTGTATGAAAAATCTAATCTAAAGAGGTGCCAGAGGTTGAAAATATGTACATGTGAAATCTAGTGGCAAAACCAAATATAGCCTACTATAGTTACCAAATAGTATTATGTAGTATTTCCCCACTGTGGGACGAAAAAAGAATCTCTTATCCTATCTTATATTATGTGTAATATTATAGTATTTAATTCAATTCAACTCAGTGTATTCTCGCATAGCCATAAATCACAACAGTTATTTTGATTGTTTAATGAGCAAACACTAATTTATATTAAATACCACTACATCAACCCTTGATTTAGATCTAAAATACCACAGAGGCTATAATCCACTTCTTTACCATTCATCCTATAATGTCTTGGTTAGTGTGGCATGTATGTTTTACGCATTTCCCCAATCTGTGGTCTGGAACCCCCCCTGCCAAACATAAACCTGGGTTAAGTTTTTGCTATGAGCCTGAACGGCTTATAAGCAACACATGCCAGGACAAAGGAAAATATGTGAAATACTTCGATATGTCAAAAAAATCAAAGCCTGACTCTGAATTGTTTTGTGTGATGTTCAGCAGAGACCCTCAATTGACAAACTTGGTCCAGACCCAATCACAAATCCTTGGATAGAATGTGAAATAATTGCATATGATGGTAGTTTGGATCAAGTTTATACAAGTCGTAATTGCATTGTTGATGTGCAAAATGTGAATTCTCCCGCATTTATTCGATGGGCTGGATGCACCAAAAGAACCAGTGGCAGTGTCCCCACATATACACATTGGCACCACGCTGTATCAAGTTCAAGGACTTTTTTCCTCTCGTGGGCCCAGCTTCTGAATGACCTCCAAATAAATATGAAACTTTATTCTGCGGCAATGAATGTAAATCCGTGGCATAGAAAAGAGAATTATTCACAGCTGTTTTAGCTCTGGAACAATTTGGCTCCCGTCTGGAAACTGGGAAGGCAAGGATGTCCTGAGTGCTAATGATAACAAATGCTAGCAGGCCGCATATGTTTGGACTGAGCTAATGAGAATTTGTCAAGAGAACCCGATATGTCAGATATGTCGCAGCGAAAGATCCCACGGACTCCGGCAAAAGTTGATGGACTGCCGGCAAGGAGCCATTTGTTAGCTGCATTGAGATTCAGCGTTAGATTTGACCTCATGCATATTTGAGAGAATAGATCCTGTTTGAAGATGGACAAAGGGACTTTTCATGGAGGGTCTGTTTGTTTCCATGGAGATGAGAATCTTTGGCTTAAAATAAAGCTATAGATGGGTTTATATAAGTACCATGTTGTGGACAATTCAGGCCACAACACTCTGTATCATATCTTATGGGAATTTTTTTTAAATCTTTTGCATAATTGTAAGACCAATCCCTGTGAGTCACTCTTTGACTCTTTGGGCTTTTCCGTCTGAAAAGGCTGATCTAAAGATAGGACCATTGAGGCCAAAAATGTGAAGCAGAGCGAGGAATTATGCATTTGTGACAGTTTTTTTTTTCTGTAGTTTAAAAGACGAAGACAAAACGAGACAGAAAGAAACAACTACACAATAAATATCACAGTGCATCTAAAAAAGTGAAGAGTTGTATGCACTGCTAGACAGAGCTGTTTTAACCTGGTTTTAAACATTGTCAGAGTAGAAGCCTGTCTCACATTTTCAGCAAACTGTTCCAGATTTTAGCTGCAAGAACTCCAGCTTTGATGTGTGTTTTTTTTTAAACATGTTTAATTCTTTGCCGATAGATGCCTGTACTGGCAGAGAAATGACCTTTCCGGTGAGATGTATCATGGCATATAATACCCCCAGACAACATACATGAACTTTTTGATAATTACTTTGGGAGATGAAACACCATATTGTTTGTGATGCAATTACTGAGGGGCGTCTGGGATAAAGATCTAATCATCTCAACGGGGAAGCAACCGAGATGGTGTCACACGAACAATAAAGAACACACTGCTCATCTCTAATTAGATATTGTATATAGAACTTATTATAAGATGTTATTCTTCAACTATTGTAGCACACTTGAATGAAAAGGAGGGTTTTCATTCGAGTTTTGGACCATGAGTAGCAAGCCATTCTTGGTTAGGCCGAAAAACCAATTGCAGGTAAATGCAAATGGTAATATATAATCCTAAATTAAATTCCAAATGGGAAAACTCCAAAACGAAAGCATAACACAGCTTCACATGCACATATTCGTATGTGTTCTGTACAATTTTTCACAGGAACAAAATAACACCCTCTTAAAAACAAAATACATTTTAAAGGGGTGGTGCAAATCTATCAAAATCTTTCCGATATCATTCACACATTTAATGCAGTTAATGCTTGAATCTTCTTGGTCAATCCTGACAATCCTGGACACATCTTCAGCCTGTTCATCCCTGGGAGTGGATCTTGCCCCTTTACATTGGTTCTCCCCAAGGTTTTTCTTTTTCCCCACTGCTTTTTTTCTTTTTTCCCTTGCTGAAGAAGAAGGATCAAAGGACAGAGAATGCTCTATTTGCTTACTTCTTCTGAACATTGGTCTGTTTGTCTTATTGGACCGATGACTGTTGTAATTGTTGGATTGGAACATAGACAAAGCCTTACAATCTATAAAGTCGGTACACTAATCTTGCATTGATTGAATTACAGGTGTAGAGAATGTAGTGCAGAGTGGGACTGCACTACATTGCTCTTCTCGTGTTGCGGCTTTCCTACAGTCCTTCAAAAAGGTCAAAGTTGTCCATGCAAACTTCCTCTCTTCCGTACTCTCCACTCTCCCATCTGGAGCTGCATGCGGGGTGGTCATCCTGCTTTAAAAAAAAAGACATCAGGAGGAGATCTCTTACCATCTTCCGTGTAACTGTTTAAGTATCAGAGCTTTGCATCACGCCGCGTCACAGCCAGAAGGAAAACAGTGATGCTATTGTTCTGTGCGTCTCTCTCTTTTCCCCAGTCACATCTTAGACAAGTTAACCTCTTTAATTAAGAGTACTTAGCTGTGTGGGCCCGGACAGAGCAGGAAGCGATTGTTGAGACCCTGCCAGCCTGGATTGGGTTTCTCGACGGCCCTGTGCTTCCAAGCCTGAGCTGAATGGGAGGCTGGCTTGTCAGCAGATGCCGTGTTGCAGGGATCGGTGTCTCTTTGCAGGGTTACAACAGCAGTTACCCTCACAGAAGACAAGAGGAGGGGAAACTCTGGGTGTAATGGAGGAACACGCATGAAGGGAACTTGTACGGCGGGGATCTCCTGCTCTTGATGCTGAAACCGGATATTTGACATAGTCTGTCCGTGTAGTTCTGGACCAGTGAGCATGTCAGGGCTGTTTTGTTTTCAGACGTGCTCTATTTATCAGTGAACGTGTGCGTTTTTGTTTGACTTGTAAAAGAACTGTTAGAAGTCCTAAATGATATTTGGTTGTGTTGAGAAATGAAGACAGAGGCAGTAGCGTTCGTCTTCCTGTAACCCGGTTTATTTTTGCGTCCTTCCAGATTGAACAAGAGACGACAAAGCTTTTTTTGCAATTATGGGACGTCATCACTTGAGATATTATTGACGTGATGCTTAAGAAATAGATTAGTTAGCATTGTGGGTCAGAAAAAATATGTACAGTACTTCAGATAATAATTTTGGGGTAAAATGTTTAGAAATGGGTTTAGGATTATATAAAGATATACGTTGTCACATTGGTTTTACATGTATTATTTTTAGGGCCCCGCCTATATGCTTATGCATCTTAAAGGCGGGGCGTTAGCTTTAAGCAGGGGTCTCTAAGCTAATGCAGCTTCCTAGGAGTTCCCTTTTACAAAACGCCAACCAACTTTACAAACACAATGTGTATAACTTCTATGACTATTAAGTTTATTGAATTGAATAGTTCAGCAGTAGTACAGATAGAACAGTGGTCCACGGTACATAATATTCTGGTCAGATTCTACAGTTGGTTCCCACACAAATGATTCTCTGGCGCCTGGTCTGAATAACACTCTTTTGGCTTGTTCAGTCCAACAAATGGGATATCCGATTTCCTCCGCTGCGATGAATATGATTCCAAGCCAAGAAGGAGAATCTTCCTTGGAACTGTAATCCATTAGCTCAATACCTGTGAATATGAGTGGACTTGAACAATATTGACCGATGACTGTTTTTGTTGTCTTATTTTCAAAACATTCACTCAAAACAAAACGCATATTCCTGGGTAAAGTAATTCATGGTTAGAAAGTCAATTTTGTGTTTTACTGTTCAGGTTAAAAATCTTAATGTGTCATATGTCTTGATTAGATGAATTTCAATTATTTTCATACAGACCTAAATAGCAACAACAATCAACTCGGAGGACTTTACAAAATCGTTGATTCACCAACAACAGATCAGAGAATCAAACAGTTTGAACACAGAAATGCAATAATAACTCATAGAAGTCATCGGTTGATAGGGCGATGTTAAAGCCTGGTTCTAAAACAACAGTTTACTCGGGACAAAACCACACAATCAGATTAGTTTTGTACTAATGAAAGTATACTATATTATCCCTGAAGTTTTATACTAATCTCTGTAACTAAGCTACAGGGCAAATTCTGGAGCTCCTTCTTTACCACAGGCTATTTATTAGACGACAAAAACATGCATTATTCACTCATAAAAGATTCCATACCATTCTAATGTAAAAGCTTTTCCACAGGCTACAACACCTGACAACAGAAAATTGTACTTGCCTTAGCACATTTACTACATGACAACGTACTTATCTCCTAACCTAAATCATTCACTAAACATGATAACATGAACTTAAAACTCTTATATAAGCAGCGGGATTACCAATGTTCATGAATGTCTATAAATGTGCATCACCACCCTTAGAATCTCCTGCATTGGCTGTAAACAACTAATATCATATCATAGCAAATAATACCACCAGATCACATAAATGAACTTTTCAATAATTACTTAAACACCATCCATTTTGTTTGTGATGCAATTACTGAGGGGCGTCTGGGATAAAGATCTAATCATCTCAGCGGGGAAGCAACGTGATGGTGTCTCACAAACAATAAAAAAACACACTGTTCTTCTCTAATAAGACATTAGCTACAGAACTTATATATTTAACTATAGTAACACACTTTGGAAAAAATAGGGTTGTTTTCATTCATGTTTCTGGACCTTGAGTGGGTCTACCCAAGCAATTCTTGGTAAGACCCTGAAGTAACCTATAAAAGTAGTACCTCCTAAATTACACTTATCCCCGTAGGGAAATTTTTCCTCTGCATTTGACCCATCTTCTATGTCACTAGGAAAACTTGTCTGCAGAAGTGGTCTCCGCAGGGCAGTTGATACTTGGCTGGAGGTGGAGGATCCAGATCACCCAGAAGAAATTCACCCAGACACAGGGAGAAACATGCTAACTCCAAACTGGATCAAACTCACTAGCTTCATACAGTGAAACATTATTCTTCCTCTTTTCCAATGCTAAAGCGACTGTTTATAGGTTTTAAAATCAGAGCTACAAGCAATTTGCAAAAGGAGTAAGTTATCCTTCTCAAATGTACTTGGTTTGGTCTGTCAGAGCCTCTCTGGCCCAGTGAGCATGTCAGCTTTGTCCTTTTCTGGGAGAGCCATAAGCTGCCCCAAAGTCCTCTGAAGAGCAGCCGTTTGAATGGGATTGGATCCAAAGTGCTTTTCTTGATGGTAACATGGTAGTTTTTTTTATAATGTGTCCTTAGTCATTTAAAATTGGGGAACCTTTATTTTGTACTTCATGATATGTTGTGAATAGCACAGAAAGAGTATTGTCAGACCACAACGTGCTTTCTGTTATCTTTTTTTAAACATGTTATTTTTGATGAGTGAGAGAGTTCCTATTGTTTCACTGATCTAAAGATGTGACTAAAACTTCTAACTAAAACATTTATGTCATAACATGTATGTTATATCAACATGTATGTCAAAAATGTCATTTACTCAAAAAATATGTTTTTGAGTAACATTAATTTGAAGTAACACTTTTTCTTGAACATCAAGAAAATCTTGATGAGACTTTTTTCATAAGAAATTCCAGCTTTTACAGAAGACACAGCCTGTTTTCAATTTGGCATCTTGCATAATTTACCCATAATGAAACACCATTTTAGGTCTTTAGTTCCGGCCATTATTGGAACAAGGCTGCTCTGTTTGGTAATTCCATGCAGCCTCTAACCCTTCCCGTTCACGGCATTTATCTCTTGTATAGAATCAAAGTCAGACGCCTCCAGTCCGACCGATATCCCACACTGCTGTACGCTTATGAAAGAGGAATGTAGTGAGGGACAAGGCCATATATATATATACATACTGTTTATACATATATACACACATTCACAATAAACTGCAAATAAACACACTTGTGACATAACTCACGCATTTAGAAAAAAGATAAAAACAATGATTTTGACCTTATAGCAGAAACAATGCAACTAAAATAATTAAAAGTCAAAATGTTGCTTAGGTCAATAAAAAGGTTAAATTCCTTCATATGTATTGTTTTAGTATTTGACTGTTATTTTTAATTTAATCATTTTCACAAATGTTTGCTTTAATTTTCACTGTTTGACTCATGCAGGTGCAATGTTATGGTATAATTTATTAATTCATGTAGTTTAAATGGTTAAAATGTTACACTCCCTCATTCAGTTTTTTTGTCAACCCCTTGATACGGTAGAACAAAAACGTACGAAACGAAAATAAAGCTGGATCCCTCTTAACTTGGGTCAGATTAAGCTTCATCATCAGAATTAGGACCAGTTTAAACTCCAAAAACACCAAGTAAAAAAAAAAAAAACTCTAAACAAGATTTTTTTCCCCCCTGTATTCTGCCTGTATTTTTGCTCAATTACGTGTTAAGTTAAGTATTCCGCAGTTGTGAAAGGGAATTGAAAAAAACCCAAAAGGTTGTCAGTTAGATCTAAGCTCCAGGCACATACCCTCCTTATTCCTTCTACTATTCACCAAAGTTCCCACTTATGAATGGGTTCAATTAATCATCAGAGGCCAAAACTACAGGTCCTTAAAATTTTTGAGATGGTGCTATTAAAATACGTTTTCCTCTTTTAATGATATACAAAAACGTATATGGGAATGTCCTTTTATTTCTTATTTTCAATGTATAATGCAACCACTTCCTTTAAGTCCAGAAATATAAAGGAAAAGAGAAAAAGAAAGACCAGTAAGATGACCCAAGTCAAAGATGTCAAAAACAAGTTTGAGAGCCAACCTTTCAAAGCACCTTCAAAGTGGACAGACGTGACAGCTCTCAGACTTATCCTGTGTCCTTCCATTATCTGCTGCCGGAGCCTTCTTCTTTACCTATTCTCGCGGCGACTCAATGGAATCTGGCCGAGCTCTCTTCGTATCACTATCCCCTCTCACACACCCTGGGATCAAGTTTCCCTGTCATGAACCAACATATACAGAGCCGGGTCTCCCAAAGTTCAAAGATCTTGGATGTCCTCTGGGAATCACTTGAGAGAAAGCCATAGACCTACTTTGGGCCAAATTACTCAAAATGACTTTAAAATTACACCCTGCGATGTCTGCGGGGCGCACCATGCTCCGTTTTATGGTAATAGCTTCCATTAAAAGCGAGAAGTTAAGTAAGTTGGTAAAATTCATTTCGTCTCTATCTCAAAGGGAAAAGGCTTCGTCGCTCATGCATGGGGCTAAGTTGCACCTGTAAGATGTCACCTAAATGTTTCCGTTATCGCGTTTTTCCCGGGGATTCCGAGAGTAACTGTGTCTAATTGGATGCGCACTTTGAACTGTGGATCAATCTTTACCATATGAGCTGCGGTTGTTTTAGTTGAAGGGAAAATTGAGTGGGGTGGTAACCTCATTTCCCAACTTTACCGCAAAGTTCAACGAGCGGCGGTCTTGTACGTGTCTGCGCTGTGTCTTTCGGTCTCTCTACTCGTGTTTCCGTGGATCTGGTCGGGGCGCTCACCTTTCAGACCTCTCCAGGTTAAAGGGGACGGGGGCTGTTGAGGCTGGGTAAATTACGAGGCGACTAAAGGTGGTCCACACGGCGTCCGCGATCGAGCTTCAAAGCAGAACCCTTTTCGCCTGTTCAGCTGACAATGTGCAAATACTTTTCCTTTGTCGTCATATTCGCAACTGAAGTCATCTTGGGGGATTTCACAAGGTTGTCGATTCGCCAACACAATCAGAATCAAACAGTTTGAACACAGCAATACAATAAAATACAATTTATTCTTGTATAGCCATAAATCACAACAGCAGTCATCTCAGAGGACTTAACAAAACCATTGAAATCACCAACACAG